TTTTTTTTTTTTTTTTTTTTTCAAAAAAATAGAAACTTTGATCAGATTCAATATACCTTTAAAATTTGGAACTGTATACCTTTAAAAACCATTTATGCTTTAAATTTTGAAATTGACCCTAAATAAATTAAATTTTCTTTTGATCAATCTAAACTTATTTAGAGAAAGGTATTCATTTACATCCATCACCAAATTTAAACTCCTAATACGGTAATAGAAAAGTTTTGTTTTAGATATTGCCACGGTTTAAATGTTCATAAATTTATTAAAAATTTAATAGTGGCATGGTAGAAATAAGATGAAATTTATTAAAAATTTAATAGTGGCATTGTAGAAATAACATGGTTAAAAAGAAGGAAAAAAAAAACACCTCTAATCAAAAGTTAGAACCATTGACACGTCCTAACATCTAGACTACAACTTAATTGTAGAAATCTAACTAACCGTCACTTGATTCTATGGCCTCATCAACTGACGTCATCATCCATATATGGGGCTCTTGTCTTTACCTGAAAAAATATTAGACGTCGTTTGAGTTTTGAAAAAATATTTAGTATATGATCCCATTATTGGAGTCGAAAAATGCTATATACGATCTTTAGGTAGTTCATATACTGTTATTGATAGATAGATGATGCAAATAAATAGACAATTATAAAGAAAAAAAGTTTAACCATTCTTAATTTGGGAGTTTCCAAACAAATGTTTGGAATGAGAATTAAGGAAAAAAAATGATAATTGACACTGTATTTAGCTTAATTTTGAAGTGCAGAAGAAAGTAAGTAGCTCTTTCTACTACACAGAGTATGGTTACACTTATTGAGGTAAGTAGATACTATTTTACTGGACCAGCTTTGGAAGATGGTGCACTGCTGCTGGACAGAAAGCCACAAAGTTGGAATCCAACTCATGTGTTAACCGCCATGGTGCTAAGGCAGAGGGAGCGACATATTTCTTATAAAAATGTAAAAACTTCTCCTTAACGGATGCGTTTTAAAACCGTGAGGTTGACGGTGATTCGTAATAGACCAAAACTGACAGTATCTACTAATAGTGGGCTTGAGTTGTTATAAATGGGATTAGAACTAGATACCGGGTGGTGTGCCTGCAAGGATGCTAGGCCCCCAAGGGGTGGATTGTGAGATCCCATATCAGTGGAAGAGGGGAACGAAACATTCCTTATAAAAGTGTAGAAACCTCTCCCTAACAGACACATTTTAAACTCGTGAGGTCAATGACGATACATAACGGGCCAAAATAGATAATATCTACTAGCGGTGGGCTTGAGCTGTTACAAATGGTATCAGAGCTAGACATCGAGTGTGTAATGACCGAAAAAAAAAAGAGAAAAAGAAAAAAAAAACTCAGTCGCCGAAAAACTCACGAGTTTTCTGGCAATCGTAGATCCCACGCAAAACGATAGCCACACCTTGCTCAACCTTCAATCCACGACTTCCAGAACCTATCAGGATACCTGCAAACAGAGAAAAGAAAGAAAATACGAGAGAGAGAGAGAGAGATTTCGGATAAACGCCGACGAGTTTCCAATTTCTCCGACGAGTTCCAAACCACCCAAAAACAGACACCAAACGATCAGTTACCACCACGAGAAGGATCCCTAACGAAAGTACAATAACTCAAGGTACGTTTTGTGCCTTTTCGTAAGCGTCGTTGTCGGTAACCGAGGTCGAAAAATTGGATTTTCCTAAACGTTCTTAGATCTGGGGTTTTAGAAACTTTTAGGCTGCAAAACTTCGAGGAAGGAAAGAAAGACAACAAACGAAAAGGGAGAAAGAGGACCAAAATTGGCAACGGAAACGCTGCGGGAAGGAGAGAGAAGACGCGCCGAAAAATCGGCCGAAATCGGGTAAGGAAGACGAGATCCATGGATCTGGGTCAACCCGAACCCAAAACCCGAGAGAGCCAGCCCAATTCTTTCCCTCAGTCTCTGCCTTCGGCCCAGCCCAACTACAGCGGCCCAAACCTCGAACCAACCTGAGACCAGACCCACGGTCAAATTGAACTAGCCTGCAACCCAAACACTTGCAGCCCAGCCCAGTAGGCTGAGACCCAACAATTAGTCTGCCCTAGTAGCCTTTTGTAGCCCGTGACCCGAACCGGACTGTGACCCGCGCCTCGACCCAACGCTATCGCACGACGTGGCTCGTTTTGCTGTTGCCACGTGCCACACAGCGGTGCAGATGGTCCCTTAGCTCGGCTCGGCGCAAACGGCTCGGGCTCCCTCTAGTGACGCTCCGGCGGCTCCCAGCGGTTGTTCAGCTCGACTCACTTGTTTTCAACCCGGTTTCCACTATTTCGAGCCTC